GCATTTCACATTACTCGCATAACAACAGAGTAGCAGTTTTCATTTACAATCTCATAAGCCTGATGATGGCCAGTTTAATTCGCTTAGTGTGGGTGGAGTCCTACTGAGTCCACTCGGCACGGCGGCCACTGATTGGCCTATTGTAGCCTTCCCCAGGTGATTATGATGATGGAGAATTTAGTGGAATGAAGATTGGCAGGGGAAACCGAAGTACTTGGAGAAAACCTGTCCCAGCGCCACTTAGTCCGCCACAAATCCCACTTGACCAGACCCGGGATCGAACCCTGGCCGCCGCGGTGGAAAGCCAGCGATTAACCGCTTGAGCTATGGCCGGTCATGATGGCCAGTTAGGCCGAAACATACACTGTTGAATAAATAACAAGAAGAGACAAGAAGCCTTCGAAGTGTGAATTTTAATATATGGACGAAGTTGAACAGGGATTAGGAAGTGAGGGTGCTAACATTGGAATACATATACAGCAGGAAACTGCAAAATACAGTACAATGGACAGCAACCCTCAACATTAATATTCTTGCAATAAACTCTTTCTCTTTCTTTCTTCCTTCAAAATGTCCGTGTTTGAAATCCATTCCGAGGTATCACATTGTTGCATTTTAGGTATTTAATAGTTGCAGTTTTTCTGGGAACTTAAGGGTATGTCTTCAGGACAGCCACTGTCTTAAATAAAGTTCTGTAGGATTCTTCAGTCACACAAAAGTATCCTGGGATAATACTTCGGAATAGGCTACGACAGCTTCCTGCACAGTGCACGTACTTTTCAACTGCTCGACTGGGACGCCGACTGCCACTCGACGGTAAATAAATTATACAGTTAAAATACAGTCATTAGTGTAAGAGCGTTTCTCGTGCGTCTCTCATGTAGAAGCATTTGTGAACGTCACTTCATAGCAGTTGTACTTTGTTGGGACGCAACTCATGTTACGGAGCTGCTGTTATACACACACATACTCACTCCTGGGACGTTCTTAATTGTAATTCACTCCACTCTCCTTCCCAGTTCCCTTCGCAAGAAGGTGGTAGGACATTACACATGGGCGCCAGTAAACATACGTAATGTCCTTGCAAGCTGACTTCAGTTCAGCCTTACCATCTATCTATGGCTCTACAGCCCTTGTGGACTTTGACCGCTTTACAGTTTCTTAATCCTATACATTGTCGGTAGGACGCCTTAGACGGGGGATCAGCTCGACGAAGGCCTCTACCTATACACAGAACAACGCAAACACAGAATAAACTCACACAGACATCCATGTCTCGAGTGGGATTTGAACCCACGACCTCAGTGTTGGAACGGCCAAAGACTGTTTATGCCTCAGACCACGCGGCCACTGTGACCGGATAGTCGTGGCAACTTCTTCGTGTAAATCTGTAACTTGAAGCGATGAAAGTTTGCGTCTGCTCAGCCCGGGTTTCATTTAAAGGCTCCTTTTTGGAAGGACACCGTCCTATGTAACCTACGATAAACTGTTACTTTCAGACAGTGTTTGGGTTGTCTGTGTTCAAAATCTGGTGCTCACAATGATACTTAATTTTACCAATGGAATTCAGTTCTTAGGCAGTTGGAATATTTAAATTAATAAGGAGTTCTAACTGTCCGAACCACGAGGTAAGCTCGCCAAAGTCATGCAGCTATCTGTTACGAGCTTGGATTACACACACAGACAGTTTACCACTGCCTATAATGCAGTAATTTAGGCATCAGTGCTGAACGTTACATACGAGATCAGCACCAGAATGGATATAATTTACCGTTTGTGTATAAGAATGGGGCTACGTCTCCTCATTCATGTTTACAATATCAGTCTGAATCTTAATTAACATAACTGACGATCGTTATAAATAACGACAGGTTATATCAGTCATTCCTGTTTTTTTTATTGCTAGTGGGGTGGGACTAAGTCTCCTGTACTGCGGCCACTTCTGGCCTATTGTACCAGCCCCAAATGATAGGTGAGGGTGATTGTGGAGCAATTGGTGGAATGAAGATTGGCAGGGGAAACCGAAGTACTCGGAGAAAACCTGCCCCAGCGCCACTTTGTCCACCACAAATCCAACTTGACCAGACCCGGTATCGAACCCTGGCCGCCGCGGTGGGAAGCCAACGACTAACCGCTTGAGCTATGGCGCGGCCCACTGATTTGTGTTATTTATTAACATAACTGACGATCGTTATAAATAATCATAGGTTACATGACTCATTCCTGTTAGTTATTAACCGCCTTACATGCACCTTGCTTTTTAAAACCTTTGAAAGTTTTGAACGTTAAAATCTCTTCATACCAGCGACGCAGGAGAGAATAAACAAGTACATGCTACGATACAATATAAGTCATTAACGAATCTACCAGCCATCTTGGTCTGTAAGTTGTTTTGCATTTTGTCTACACTTCGTCTCCAATCCTTCTATTTGTGCAATGTCCCAGGTTTGCTATTCTGTCACTAAGTTCAGTATGTGTGTGTAGGCTAGTGGTTACGAAGAGGCCCAAAATGTTGCAGCAAACACTTGCTACTGATTGTCAACTGTGCTGTCAGTTTGTTACACAAGATGACAGAGTTGACAGCAATTAGGGATCGGATGAATAGGAACAGAAGTTGAGAGCAATAAACGACACTGTAAAACGATGGTTCCTAAAGTGGGCTTATGGTCCGCTAGAGGGCGGTCGGGTTACGTGTGGCGGGTGGCGTTAAGGGGCAACGGGGCAGTAAGGAGCGCCGAATATGAGCGCGTTGTTGGCTTATTTACGATTGAAGTGACTGTAGACCAAACATTGGGAAACTGGTATCAGTTCATCAAGCCCATCCTTAACATTAAGCATTTACCAACACTGAAATCTTACTTTATTGTTATTACCTTCCTTAGTGGGTTGTTCAAACCGCTAGTCTGGGGAATGTTGTTTATAGGATAGGGCAAGGGGAACAGGGGATGTTGTTTATGTAACTAAGTTTATGGAAAAAGTTTGGGAACCACCGCTGTAAAATGTGCTTACGTAATCTACATTTCAATATCTTCTGTAGTCTATTGCTACTCCCACATAGAAAACTTGTACATTTTCTGTTACAGTTGATTAAAAAGTGCTTTGATGAGGTTAGGTATTTCGGACGAAAGGGGGGGGGGGAAGTACCTTGCATGAGCACGGAAATATTTTTCTCGATATATTTTATGTTCAGCAATTTCCCACTGAAAATTCTGCGGACTTTAACTATTAAATTCAGACGTCGTTAAATATGACAGATATAAACATGTTCAAGGTACACTGTGCTTACATAGGTTGAACTGCTCCTCTGCAACTGGCTACCAGTTCAGAGAACGTTAGGAAGACATTTAGGGAAGGAGTGTGAAAACCAAGGCCCTCAATACGATCTCAAATTTGTAGGGAGAAGCATATCTCAGATAGAGAACATAAAGTTAGTTTGAGCTTTATTGTATAAAGTATATAAAATGACCCCAGGCTTCGTTATCTTCTTCTGTTAAGAAGTAAACACACTAAAAATTGTATTTTGTTAGAATACAGGAAAATTTCCTCTTTAGTGCAATGCATTTTCATATGTGCCATTTCCTTTTCCTCAGACGCCAATCAGTTACATTCCTTTGTTGGACATAAACATCGATGTTGTAAAGCGTACATTGTTACAGTCCATATAACATTACGTATATAAATGTATATACTAAAACATTGTTTTGCCTTATAATTCGTCAAATATGAACTATACGGAAGAATTAAGATTACAGTCTCCTGGCTAATAACGTCATCTAGTTCGAGGAGAGTCCGATATTTTAGAGGAATATACTGCCTCCGAAATGCAAGGCTATCTCCAAACTACATGGGTTTGAAACCCATAAGACTGTGAGAACATCAAATCCAGTATATCATAACACATTGTGACATATACCAAACACGTGACAATATTTTTAACAAAATTGTATACTTTAATATAGTTATTTTCTGTTCTGAGATATTTTGATGACTGGAAATAATTGGGAACATAATATTAATGATGACCTGAGGGAAATGAAAGTGTGAGTGTGCGAACAGAGTTCAACACTCTCAAGAAAGAATCCAGTCGTAGGCCCTTATTAACTTCGTAATAGAGTGAGACTGGTTTCAACAGATAGGCAAGCAGCAAATTTCCAAGCTGTACTTCTCACCATGGAATTATTAAGTTATATTTACTCGTATTAGAGGAAATTAGCCGAGTTCGATTTTAATTGAATTTTAAAGTGTCATGTAAGAATGATTAGATCACAAATTAAATATATCCCATAGTTTTTATGCTTTATTGCCTTTTGTAACAAATTAAAACACATGAGTTTCAGTTCAGCTCTAGTGGCAAAATATTCATATCAAATTTCATCAAAATCCGTCAAGTGGTTTGAAATTGAGACTACGGACACACACAGAATTACGGGAAATATTTAGCTGCCCTAAGTCGTCTTAATGTTTAAAATGGATGGCAGGTATAAGCTTATATTTTGGAGATAAGGCTCTTAAGTGTTGTGATTTTCTCTTAAGCCATTTAAGGGATCTCTCTGATATGAAGTGTCTGTGTTATTATTTGTTTTATTTATAACTCCCTTACAGCTGCTAGGATTTTCAGGATCGAATGAGGAGAGATGATGTTTTTACAAATTGTGAAAAATTACGAAGTGGTAGAAGGCAGTCGTTGCCTGCTTCAGATAATATTCCTGCATTTGCTTTGAGAGTCTGAGAGGGCATTCACAAATGCGACAGTCAAGGGTCAGTCGATATGCAGCTTCAGAACCTTCATGACACTGGTCTTCAGCGTAGTCGCCATTCCTCAAACTGTACAATTGTTGAAAGGGCTGCCTCTCTCTTGTGACTAAATATCCTTCTCAACACATGGTCCTTAAATAACTTGAAGCTATGTTCTTTCATCAGGGTGAGAGATTAAATTTTATTTTCCATCATATCATTCAGAGATAATTTCCTTGTCGCGTTTACGATCCTTACAATTGCAGTTTGTGGATGCCAGGCCCCTCAAGGTCAACATGGACAGCGCCAGGTGGGGTCGCTCAGCACCCCAGGCCCAGGTGGTGGTAACATTAGGTGGATCAGAGGTGGGAGGGAATGGAGAAGAGCTGATCCCAATCTTATCAATCGCCTATGGAAAAGCAGGACACCGCTGGGTAAGATGAGAGAGAGTAATATTCCGGATAATGTGATCGTCATTTTGAAAGGATGGATGACTGACAGAACGGTGGACTGGGAAGGATTAGAAAGGAAACGTCCTTTGCGTGTTCTAAGATACTATCCCATAATTGGCCTGGTGGGGATCGGAGAATCTACGGAAATATCTTCGCCATTATAATCGGTATTTAGGCCAAGGTGTGGAGAGTTCAACTGAAACAACCAATAGGAAACCCGAAACTATTATCAATATTTGTTAATTTTAAAATATAAATTGGTAATATTAGAGAGCTCTAACATCAGAAGTTTTCAGAGCTATTTTATGCCAGTGTAAGCGTCTTTCCTAAAATACAGGCGCCATGAGAGGCTGGTTACATTAGTAATAATTCAAATAATTCAAATCCTCTGAAAATCTATACTATTCGTTTCTTAATTAAATATTTATATTTCATTCCTCAATTCGTAATAACACTTAGTTTAATGACAATGAAATTATTATTACTGTTATAATTATCAGTTATTTATTTGTTTACTTTTACTTTTATTCATTATTATTTCTTCCAAGTACTTACCTGTAATTTGTATTTGACTTTTAATAAGTTTGTCTATAATGTAATTCATTCATCTGCACTGCGTTGTGTCTGTAATTGGCCTTGCGGCTGTTGACTCGGCACATAAATAATAAAGAATTGAATTGAATATTATCGACTTTAGAGCTACTTAGTATTTATGTAAAAGCCTTTCATGAAGCTTAAAGTCCACAAGATAATAGCATGGGATCTCAATAATTCAATCGATCATATTCAATAAGGCTGAAGTGTAAATGCAATACAACTGGATGGTCCTTACATAGTCATTATACAGGAAAAATCAAATTGTTACTTCTTCCTTAAACATATTGGCCGGTTTTACTTGAAAATCAACGGATAAATATTGTCAAGGGACAGAAAACATATTAGTTCGAAATTATAATAAATGCATATCTACGCTGAGAGATTACAAAAATGTGAGCAAAGAGACCTCGAATATAAATATGTAGAAATTCAGTGTCATACGTAATAAGACATAAGCACAACAGTATGTTGGTTTCCCGCTTAAACTGCTAATTTGTATGTATGAGGACTTATCGCTAAGTAGCATAATGGAGTGCATATGATATAATTCAATGCATACTATATCTGTTACTTTCTTGCCTTCTGCAGAACATTTTATTGAGTGGGTGGGATGAGGTTCAGTCCACTTAGTACCCAGGTCACCACTGGACCCACTGATTGGCAAGTGTGCAGAAATTGGCGGGGAAAAAATTGGCAGGGGAAATTGAAGTAGTCGGAGAAACCCAACCCAGTGCCACTTTGTCCGACCCACATGACATGACCTGGGATCGAACCCGGACCGCTGCGTTTGGAAGCTGGCGGCTAACAGCCTGAGATATAATACGGCCACTCGGAAGTACCTTGTAGTACCCTTCAACTCTCAGTATATGGACAATGATTGTTTGAAGACCGAAATGGAATAAATTCCCTAAATTTGTTGTGTGTATATTAAAATAGACCTCTTCTGTGGTCTAGTGGTCCGAGTTTCTGGCTACAGCTCCAGAGATCCTGGGTTCGATTCCCCGTGCTACCAGATTTTCTGAGGAGTAGTGGGTCTGAAACAGGGTCCACTCAGCCTCGTGAAGATAATTGAGGAGCTATTTCAAGAAAATAGCGACTCCGGTCTAGAAAATCGAAATTAACAGCAGTGGGGATCCGTTGCGCTAACCACGTGACAATCTCTATCCGCTAAATTTGGCGCTAACTTCGTCGACAAGCGGCGGTCGCTCGGTCGGTATAGATCGCTTGCGGACTAAAATCACGGAGTTTGTTTTGTATATTAAAATAAGTCTGATGGTTCACAGACTGAAAACATTCCATTGTGTGTGCAGGCAATGCCGAGCCTTACATCGTCATGGCGCTCCTCATTGGGTTCGTGACAGTTGTGATTGGCTGCTGGCTGTCGGATAACTGCTGGTCACCGGAACCGGAACATATCGTCACCATTGCCTAGAAATGGCGGCACCCAGGACGCGCTGTGATCGCCCAGCCAAGAATTCAAGCTCAAAAAGTTCTAATGTGCAACAGCAACAGAATCCCAAGTGATGCACGACTGCAGTCACTTTTGTAGCAACAGTCTAGATATTCTGGAACGTTTCCACAGAATTCACCCAATATAAAACAGCATTCTTACCACTCGGATGTAACACGTGGCAATAAGGGATACCCTTTTGGCATGGTCACTCAAAAATTATATATTGTCACTCAGCGCTGTTGTCACAAATGCTTCTTCTGCGGCAAAATTGGTTATTCAGTACAAATTTAATTATAATTAAACTTACTGGGCAGTTAATTAAGGGCTCTATTTATAAGTACCAATTTTCTTTGGTAGGTAAGACAGTTATTGGTACCGAGAACTATTGAGGGTATACAGTAACTATTATCATGTTCTTTGTACCACGCAGGCGTGAGGAGATCAGAATGAATTAAATGTCGTGTCCTTCGTATTTGGATGTCCTATGTTGAAATAAAAATGTAAATCATAACCTTCATATGAAGACGAACCTGGTAAATGAAAATTACGCTTAGTTTGTTTTAACGCAAATATTTGGAAACGGTTACAAGTAGATGGTCTTTATGAAGTTATCTATTGTAATATTTGGAAAATTCCTTTAAGTTAGTGGAAAGTATAATTCAAGGTAAATCTAAAAACATGAAAGGAAAATTTATGTGGCTAATTAATATTGCCGCAAGCAATAATTGGCTCAAATTTTCAGCGCTTCAGAGAGCAGTAGTAACTTTGTGTACCACCTTTAGTAACGGTTGTTAATCTGCTATTTTCTCGCAAAATTAAAATAGATTTTATTCTTTCGGATCAATAATAAAATAAAATTATCTTCCTAAACGCTTTCAGATATGTTAATGATGTCAATGGGGAAGTGAAGTATTTACTTTGAAGTCAGAAATACAACTTTTACATTTTGTTTACTTAATGCAGCATTAAGGTGTTTTTCTTGCTGGTCGTTATATGTATAGAAGATGATGGAATTCCTCAGATACTGCGCTAGGACCATGTTTCGATTATTTGTCGACATCTTATTCTTGCCTTTAAGCTTAGCATTGTTCTTTCAATAAAATAAAACATTAAATTTGAGTTCTGACAGGCTACTAGCTGGACGCCTCGGGTTCGATTCCCAGCAGTGCAAGATTTCTCTCTTCTTCAAAGCGTCCAGACCGAATCTGGGGCTCACTCAGCCTCCTATCAAACGGGTACAGGGGGCTCTGTCCCTGGGAGATAAAGCGGCAGGGGTGCGAAACTGACCACTCACCTCGATCTAGTGCCAGGTCAAGAAAGTATGGGCCTATATATCCACTCCCCCATATGTCTTCATGGAATAGTCCTTAACTAATTAAACGAAGGGACGAATTTACCTTTTTCCCTTACCGATGAGTATATTTCATTTAAAATATAACCTAATAAATATCACATGGATGTTACAGACTAAACCTATTTATGCATTTATAGTCACTGAGATAATATTTTTGTGCCTAGTTTTGCTTTATTCTATTTGTACCCATCGTGTTCGTCATCGTAGCTTATTGGACACAGCAACACAGCAGTTCGCATCTTGCCATCAGTTATTACTTAATGAGATTGTGTGTGTGCTAAAAACCAATGTAAGCCAGCATATTTGTGAAAAAATAACATATGTTTGCAAATTTAAATTTCCTTTCGCACATATCGAGTTCAACTTTCAATAATAATGTTTCATACATATACTTTACCTTCATTTACAGTGTGTTGGGCGGCCATTTTGTGAATGAACATTAACAGTCATGTGGCTGGATTACATACGCGGATATTTATAAGTGATGCAAAAGGATTAAGTATTTATCACAAAGACGGGACCAAAAACCTGACATTTAAAGTTTTGAAGTATACAATTAAAGAAAGTCTGATGGCTCTGCGAAGCGAAAAACGGGAGTGAAACATTAAGAGATAAGATACTGTGGTCTGTGGGTCCGACTGACTGATGTGACCTGCAATATAAATCGTGACTGTGTGAACACAAAAGAAACGACTTTCAAACTTATAACGAATCCAGATGTTCCAGGTGTTGTGCGGTGTAACTTATGTTCTCCTATATGGGCACAAAGAGCCAACACCTAATATTACTCCATGCTTGGTTTTGCCAATGATTACTAGACAAATTGTAAACTTGATGTGCCTAACTCGACTACATTTTATTATAAGTGCTCAGTGATATTCACTGCTGAAAATGCTATAATGCTAATTTCAAGTTATAATTATATGCGCTTAAAGCAGTAATACGAGCGACGAGGAATGCATATGGGATATTGAAGGGAAAGCCAGAAGACCCAGGTGGGTGAATAATATCAGAATGGATCTTAGAAAGATATGATGTGGTGTCATGGACTGGATTGGACTTGATCATGATAGGGACCAGTGGAGGGCTCTTGTGAACACGTTAATGAACCTTCGGGTTCAATAAAATGCTAGGAAATTCTTGAGTAGCTGCACAATTGGCGGCTTCTCAAGAAGGGCTCAACTCCATGAAGTTTTAGTAAGTTGGTTAGTTACTTAGATAGCATAAAACAGTATATATTTATTTTAATCAATGATATATACGCAGTATTCTAACTAATTAGGGTCCTAATGAATATAAACCACCTTTCTACAATGCACTTATACACTGAAACTCTCAGCTCACGAAAATATTAGAAGTCATATGCCTTTCTGAACCTATAAAATTATTTTCGTTATAGTGTGAAGTAAAGTAACATTACATTGTCTCTCTGTACTTCCACATGAGGCGCACTACATAATTACCGCATTTCTCTCACCAATCATTGTGTGAATATTATTATATTTTTATATTTTAGCATCCCGTTACGTTGAGGTATCATCCTTTATTATCAAAGTATCTGTCAATAATGCAATAATTTAAAAGATATTAGGAATATATTTAACACTAAAAATGTATTTCATCACTTTTTGATGTTGTTAAGATCATTACATGTCAATAGGACATTAAAAGCGCATTCTATAAATTAAAAGTGATTATCCAATTTTCTAAAATGTCTTTAGTCATATATTTGTTCTAGTTTTCGGCATGTTTCAGCCACATGGGACATCCTCAGGTAATTTCCCTTCTTTTGGGGAGGCCATAGCACTGTATACTTATTCACTGTGCCTCCATACACGTCAATATTTGAGAATGCCGTCGCTGTATTCTATTGTGGCTGTCGTAGTTTTGTGTGTCGCATGTATCACTAGTGCGGTCTTCCTGTGCACCTGTGTACTGTCGAAAACTAGAACAAATATATGACTAAAGACATTTTAGAAAATTTGATAATCACTTTTAATGTACAGAATGCGCTTTTAATGTCCTATTGACATGTAATGATTTTAACATCAAAAATTGCTGAAATACATTTTTAGTGTGAAACATATTCCTACTATAGTTTAAATATCTGCATTATTGACGGATACTTTGATAATAAAGGATCATTATGTGAACATTCTTCAAAGGTCGATTAATACGTAGGTCATTTCAGAAATAATGCACACAATTTTTTGTTTACGTCCATGTTTATTTTTTTAATATCTCTTTACAGTCCTCCAATATAGTCCCCCTGCTTCTCAATGACCGAGTCCCAACGTGTGGGAAGCTTTACTATTCCATCCAGGACACCGTCTTTGTTTATCTGTCGAATGGCTCGAGTACTGCAGCAGGAAGCTCTTCCAGAGAGGGAAAACGACGGCCTCGCATAGGTTGTTTCAAGTTTGGGAGTAAGTCGAAGTTTGGTGGACTCATGTCCAGGTGTAGGGAGCATGAGGCAACACCTCCCAACCGTATTGGCGCAGCTTTTCTTTAGGACATTCCCAATGTGCGGGCGAGCTTTGTCATGGAGAATGATCGGCCCAGATTCGAGCAACTGAGGTCGGTTTTTGTGCATTTTTCTGCGCAATTTGCATAAATTCACGATAATAAACTGCTGTGACACTTTTCCCGCACGGAACTTTGTCTATCATGATGATTCCTTGGTGATCATAAGCAAAGATAATCATTTGTTTGACCTTCGATTGAGATCGTCGAAATTTTTTTGGTCGTGTGGAAGATGGACCTCTCCACTTGTTGGACTGTGATTTCAGCTCCGCCAGAAACTTCACTTAAAGCACTGTGGATTTCTGTCGGGTTTTTTCCCACGTAAAGTTTCGATCTTAATGCACGACCTTTGATCTTCAACGGTCACAATACCCGAGAACCGTGCAGGCTCCATTTCTAACTCACGTTATTTAAGAACAGAGTACATTATAAATGAAACAAAATGACGCGCTTCTTTCTCAAGCCCTGAACTGTAACTGACGTGAGGCTCACTGTTGTTGCGTCATCTAATCCGCAGTGTTGCCAACCTATGATTGCCAGATTTTGTAAAATAAAAAAGGAGTGATGTCTCGTTGCTTGTTTATAACGACATTTTTCACAACTAATAGGCTATAAAATATACATAATCAACATACTCCGTAACTTACAAAATGCTACTACACATCTGTATTACATAGGCCTACTACACGTTTATAGAACAAAACAAATATTACGTAACCCTATTACATATTTATAGAATGCATAAAATATTACCTAGCACACATTTGTAGAACACACAAATATTAAATACTACATATTTATAACTTTCAAGGGCTGGTCGATCAGATTCTGTTAATTGCATTTCACTGAACTCTTAGCACTTTTTAATAATTGAACATCACCTTTCGAAAATTTATAAAATTCTGAACAGGACTTGCTTTCATAGTCCACTGTCACCTGGAGTTCTGCCTTGATTAAATCTGTTGAGCATCTGTTTCTTCTGTCACTCCACTTACTTTTCATGAATGAAAAGATTCGCTCCACAAAAGCATTTGAGCCAGGGATGCTAAACAAAAATCCTACCACTTTGAAGATATTTGGTACATCATGATCAGGTACTGAAGAAAAAATGTAAGCCTTTTTTCTACATAATCACCATATTTAACCCATAAAATATAATTCACAATGGACTTAAATAAAGAAAGGGAGAATTATCCACTCCGGG